GTAAAATTCATTTTCATAGATGGCGAACGCCTTTTGCAGATTAACTCCTATGAGAAAATCCTTAGAGAAGAGAACTGGGCAACTGTGGATGACCTGCCCAAAGAGACTGTAAGTGCTACATTCCTTCAAGATATTCTGGGGTTATGTTTTATTACCAAGATAATATCTATGGCATTCTTTCCTATTCCCATTTCTGGTCCTTTAATGCACTGCCACATATCACATTAATATGGAATGGAGATAAGTTGCAGCAAAAGCTTCACCTACTTTTTGTTTTTGTTTCGGTAATGGTATAAGAACAGGGCTAGAAAAAAGGTTCTTTTATCTACATACAAGCACTGTATCTGGACTGATTTTAGTTAGAAATGTCGTACAAAACCTCTGTGAAAGAAGAACTGAAAAATAAAGTGAATGCTTAATATAGCAGCAGACAGCCTTGTTCCACATAGTCCTTAAACTGGTTTGTCTAGCTGAAAAAACCATCCTTGGACAGAGAATAGGCCTATCCAGCCCACTATTCTGTTCCTACAGTGGCCAAACAGAGTCTTGTGGACCAACCAGATGCACAGCATTAATGCTGTCTTTATGTTCCAGTTCATGTTCCCTAGCATCTGGTATTCAGAGGTGAACTACTTCTGATACTGGGAAGAAATATGTGATGGCCAACTTTTGTTGTTAAGCCAATCCCCAAGATGAGTGCCATCTTTTTCAGTCACAAAACTACTTTTGTTTGGTCTGGCTGGTGGTAATGTTAAGAATGCTAAGTCCTGCTGCATCAGATACCCACCTCCTTATTTGTGTATAAAGCCTCAAAAGATACAGAACTTTGATTATCTAGGGCAGTGATGGCGAACCTTTTTGAGCCCAAGTGCCCAAACTGAAAAAACAAACAAACACAACTCGGCAGGTGGCGGTGGCAGAAGTGGCAGCAGAAGGGGGAATCCCAGGCATGGAGGTGCCTCCAGACCCCACTCCGGATCTGCTTCCATTCGTGCCCAATTTTGCCACTGTCTATAGGTTGGCCAGCTCACCACCGCCAGCTGCTCCAGATCCCGGCCTGCTGCCCGTCAGGGTGCTAGCACCACGGCTGCAGCTGCCTCCTCAGGTTTGGCTGTCAGGGGTAACAATCCAGCAACTTATGGCTCGCATGCCCACAAAGATGGCTCTGAGTGCCAGCTGTGGCACCCTTGCCATAGGTTCACCATCTCTCATCTAGGGCAATGATTATGATTCCCAACCTTGGGTAAACCAGGTGTTCTTGGACTGCAACTTCTAGAAACCTCAGCTAACACAACCAGTGGTGAAGGCTTCTGGGAGTTGCAATCCAAGAATGCCTGGCTTATCCATGGCTGGGAACCACAGATTGAAGGCAACAGCTTTATATGATGTATGCAGGAAAGGATTAGCGTGAAAGTGTGAGAAGATTTAATCTGAATTCCTTCCCCCCCCCCTTGCTGTGGAAGGCACCAGTGCAAAAAGGGACAGTCTCCTACAGGTAGTCAGTCTATAAGACTGAGGACTCTGAAAATCAGGGCTTCTGATTACACGGAAGGTGTCCATATGTACAGCAGACTCTGCTCTTCAGACTCCACTTTCCATGTGGGAGACTAACAACAGAGGTGGGAGATACTAGCTCTCACCATCCTCATGTATTCAAGATTAGCTCTCTTCTGAACATCTGACCAAAGCATACAAAGGGAAACACATATCAGAGTCTATGAATGAAGAAAGGACAATTTATCCTTTTCCTAACCACTAGTTTTCTTCCTAATCACTCTCCCTTGGCATCTGTTGGTCAGGTTTCTTTCTGTTGGGCTCTTGGATTTAAAAAAAAATGACCTGGGATGATTAGTTGCTAAAGAGAATCAGTAGGTTAGCACCTTCCTCCTGCCCACAATTAATCTCCTGAAAATATTCATCCCCATATATTACCCAGAAAACATCTATGGAAAGACATATTTCTTTGAGTTTTTACACCAATTAAAGAATTCAAAAGGCTTCTATGTGAAAAACAAAATCCATTTACAGGAATTGACTGTTGGAGGATTTATATGCTTTTCCTCATGTACTCTGTTCTATGCCCATACAGAAACCATTAATTTTAAAACATTATTATTTAAAAATATTGAAGTTATTTGCTGACATGTACTGGGTTGATTCTTGCTCTAAAATGGCTCTTGTATTTGTTTGTTTGATTGATTTATATGCTGCCTTTCCACCGGTAAGGGAACCCAAGGCAGCTCACAATATTAAAAAAAAATAGAACTTAAAACATAATAAGTTAAACATTAACAAACAATTAAACTATATACCAATTAAAGTACAATTAAATAAGTAAAAGCAAGTAAGCATTAAAATAAGTGACTCTAAGAAGGCATTCAGGGATTCAGTCATGACTGTTAAAAGCCTCCCTGAAGAGATGAGTCTTCAGCAGTGGGCAGAAGAATAAAACGGTGGGGGGGCAGCCTGACCTGCTGAGGGAGAGGATTCCATAATCTGGGAGCTGCCAAAGAGAAGGCCTTCTCTTGCCTATGCCGACAATGGGACCGATAGGAGAACCTCCTCTGATAATCTCAAACACGGAGAAGGCTCATATAGATATGTCTAGTTCTAATGTTACGGGTACATGGAAACTGCTCTTCTGTACTCCACAAAATCAGCTTCTACAGGTGTAGAGAATAGGAAACTAGAGCACAGTCTTATCAGCTACTATTAATATCAACTCAGGAGCCTACATTTCAAGGGTGCCTTTCAAGTTTAGCAGTCTGAAGTGTTTGAGGGTAGTGGGGCAACCTCTGCATAGCAAAGGTACTGCTGCAGTATGTCAAGAAAGACGACTGGATGAAAAGGGTGAAGCAATAAATCTTTAAGAGGGTCAAACATAACCACAAAAATGAGGAAGTTCAAGTGAGGGTAAAACAATGACAAAGGGAATTTAAGGGAAGCAGGAAGAAGTCTACACCTGAGATTAGAGGAAAAGATGGCAAAGTTTGGGGACAGAGTGACAGAGAAGGAGAAAAATTAGGAAGATATTTGTCAGAAAACAGATCTTTTGTAAATACTTTTTCAAACAAATCCAGATGCTCAGTCCCTCAGTTCTTAAAAATATAAGGCTGATTGACTAACTTAGGTATCATTGATTTAAGGTGTTGTACTCTTAAGTTATGATGCAATTTGGATTCCACACATAAGTTCCAGCAAACATTTAACAGTTTGTTATGCATCTCAAAATGCATATATTGGCAAATGAAAAATTTTCCCAAGACATTTGCCCAATTCATGGACTAAACCCAAAAGCAACATCTAATTTCTCAGTGTGGTGATGACATTGGTATATCCACATTGATTTGGAAAAAGGCAAGATCATTCTGTCAATGGTCTCACAATTTCCGCGATGTTAATCTATTCCATTGAAATCGCTGTCTTGTGAAAACACTGTCTTGCGAAAAGCGTTTCCCCACTGGAATGCATTGAAATCCGTTTAATGTATTCCAATGGGGAAAATAGTCGTCTTGCGAAAATTGCCCCTAGCGAAGCCATTTTGAGAAGTGCCAATCAGCTGTTAAAATCGCTGTCTTGCGAAGCATCGGTTCCGAAAACAATCATTTTGCGAGTCGCGGACCTAGCTGTTAAAATTGTCGTCTTGCAAAGCATCGGTCCAGAAAAAAAGTCTTACAAAGCATGGACCAAAACATCGTCCAGCAAAAATCACCCATAGGAAAGACTGTTTTGCGAAACGCTATAGCGATTGCAAAAATTCATCGTCATGAGGATTCGTCATTTTGCGAGGTCATCGTCTAGCAGGGCACAACTGTAGATATTATGCCTGTTCAGTTTCAGCAATAGCTATTTACAAGAACAGGTATGTTGGATCAGAACAGGTTTACATAGTCCAGTATTTTCTCCCTACAAAAACTTATCAGATGCCTAAGGGAAGCCCAAAAACAAGATGCAACTATAGTAGCACACCAATATCGAACATCGAAAGGACAATTAAAAAAAATCAGAACAATCATGAATACTTACTAATAACTGAAAATAAGAGTCTTGTGGCATTTTAAAGGCTGACTGATTTCATTTGGTATAAACATTCGCCAACTACAACTTAATTCGTCAAACGCAGCTGATGAAAACTTACACCAATAAAAATTGTTAGTCTTTAAGATGACGCAAGACAATGTAGCTTTTGCTGCAACACTCTAACATTTATTTAGAGGACCTTTGTCTAACATTTATTTTTATTTATTTAAAATATTTTCTCCCTACCTTTCTCTTTAAAAGGCAGTTTACATCATTAAAAGACAATATTTAAAGTGAAAAACAGTAAGTATACAAATACTAAAAAGGATCAAGCAAATAACTCATACACAAAAACAGTAAATAAAAGCAACACCAAAAAACACATTCAAAGCAGTAAGGCTCAGCAATCCATTAGAAAACCCCAAACAGGCAGCTAGTCACTGAGGAAAAGCTTGTGGAGATAAAGGGCTTTGTCTGCTTACAGAAGGACAGCAAAGATGGGGCCACAGCCTGGCCTCCTCTGGGATGGTGTTCTAACATTTGGGAGCAGCAACAAAGAAGGTCTTCCTCTGTGTCTCACGACCACCTGCCCTGCTCCCACTAAAATTATTATAATCATCACTGGTATCTCCAGAGGATCTAAAACTCTCTTCGTGATATGTACTCAGTCAGACATTATCCTATGTTCAGGCTGTTAACCACAGAGCAAAAGCAATAAATAAATATATTAAATTAAACAAAAAACTGAGCATTTGACATGTTCAGAAGTACCATTTAACAAACAGGTTGCTGTCTTTTTTTATGAGACTGTACATTTATATGATCATATATAGATATATATCAGAAAAATTAAAATTTACCTGTTTGATTCTGAATAACCAACATTATTAACAATAATCTAAAAACAGTGATTTTAGATTAATAAAAATCAGAATAGAAATAAAACTAAAAATTGATGTGAATACAGAAGTGGCACTTACTGTTATTTGATGGTTCAGGAAATGCAACATTTTGGCCACTCCAATCCTTCATCTCTCCTGACTGACAAAGATAAAGAAGAACACAGATGGGATAAAATGAAAGGGCTGCAATGTTTATTCAATAGGAAAAGTTTAAAGTACAAAGGAGCGAAACCTATTCAATTATTCTTACCATTCACTTGGCCTACGTATAATTAAAATATAAATATGATGTTCTTCAAAATTTTACAATATGCTACAAATATTGACCAGAATCCAGTTGGCACAGTTGTGTCTTGCACCTCTGATGACATCATCAATTGCAGTCCAGCCACAACCATTCCAAGGGAATTAAAAGCTTCCTATTCCCTCCTTCCCACCAAATCATCCCTGTTGCCAGGAAAGAGGGCAGTAATTTCCCATCTTTAAATCATTCCATTACCCAAAGGTCTCCTAGGATGAAGGGGACCTCTAGGGATCCCCAGAACGTTGTGGTGGGGGGACAGGAAGCTTTAATTACCTCTCCTTTTGAATGGCTGCTGCATGGCTATGGCATCATCAGAATTGATGGCCTAACTTGTGCATTTCTAGCCACCAAAACATAATTATATCAGTTGCTATATTAAAAACCATTTGAAAACATATCAATTAACATTAAAAATTACAAGTAATAATAAGAAAGTTCAGCAAATTCTCCGGCAAATTGTCCTTAACAATCAATCAGATCTGCGTAAATAAGAAAATATGTATGCTAGAGGAATGACATCAGAGGTGACCAAACCAGCTTCCTTTGGCAGTGGATTCCATAGCATGGGAGTGGCCACCAAAATGTTGCTCTCCCAGGGAAGTTTCTAATCTGCACGTAGATGCTACAGGGCAGAGGTCCCCAGTCCGCTATCCACAGCCTGGTGCTGGTCTGTGGCCTGAGTTGCGGACACAAACCTCCCGCTCTCCCCACACACACTCACCCCGACACAGCTGATTTGTGCATGTGCATGAGTGCCGGGGGTGCCCCCCATTCCCAGCTGGTCCTCGGGGTGAAAAAGGTTGGGGAACCCTGCTATAGCGCAGCCATACTAAGACCCAATCAGACATAGGCTGAGAGAACACAAAATCATAAGAAGGCTCATTCTCGATCAGGAAAAAGGTACATCTAACCTAGCATTTTGGTTCAAAATTGGGAAAGGAGAACGACAAAGCTTTATATTGTCTCCTTGCTTATTTAACTTATGTGCAGAATACATCATGCGAAAGACCGGACTGGAGGAACCCCAAGCCGGAATTAAGACTGCCGGAAGAAATATCAACAACCTCTGATATGCAGATGATACCACTCTGATGGCAGAAAGTGAGGAGGAATTAAGGAATCTCTTAATGAGGGTGAAAGAGCAGAGCGCAAAAAGATGTCTGAAGCTCAACATAAAAAACCTAAGATCATGGCCACTGGTCCCATCACCTCCTGGCAAATAGACAAGGAAGATATGGAAGCAGTGAGAGATTTTACTTTCTTGGGCTCCATGATCACTGCAGATGGTGACAGCAGCCACGAAAGTAAAAGACACCTGCTTCTTGGGAAGAAAGCAATGACAAACCTAGATGGCATCTTAAAAAGCAGAGACATCACCTTGTCGACAAAGGTCCACATAGTAAAAGCTATGGTTTTTCCAGTAGCGATACATGGAAGTGAGAGCTGGACCATAAAGAAGCCTGACCACTGAAGAAATGATGCTTTTGAATTGTGGTGCTGGAGGAGACTCTTGAGAGTCCCCGGGACTGCAAAGAGAACAAACCTATCCATTTTGAAGGAAATCAACCCTGAGTGCTCACTGGAAGGATAGATCCTGAAGCTGAGGCTCCAATACAGTGGTGCCTTGCTTAACGATTTTAATTGGTGCCAAAAAAAACATCGCTATGGGAAAACGTCGCTAAGCGAAACACGTTTTTCCCATAGAGATGCATTGAAAACCGGATAATCTGTTCCAATGGGAACGGATTGCCGTCCTTAAGCGAAAATCGCCATAGGAAACATAGCTAAGTGAAACGCGGTTCCCCAACTGAAATGCATTGAAACCTATTCAATGCATCTCAATGGGGGAAAACAATTACAACAAATTCAAAAAGAGTCAGAACAAAGTCAAATTAGTTTAACAAAGGGTTTATTAAGTGCACTTATGATATCAAGCATTCAAAACTTTTTAAAAACATTTTTAAACATTTAAAAGACAGTCAACGAGGCTGTCAAAACCATCGTTAAGCGAAACAGGGGGAGCCAAACTGTCATCGCTATGCGAAGCAAGGTCCCAAACATCGCTATGCGAAAATCGCCCATAGGAAACATCGTTAAACGGAACGCAAGATCACTCCGGAAAACTAATCGTTAAGCGATTACATCGCTAAACGAAGCAATCGCTATGCGAGGCACCACTGTACTTTGGCCATCTCATGAGAAGAGAAGACTCCTTGGAAAAGACCCTAATGTTGGGAATGTGTGAAGGCAAGCGGAGAAGGGGGTGAGAGAGGACAAGACAGGTGGACAATGTCACCGAAGCTACCAACATGAATTTGACCAAACTCCGGGATTCAGTGAAAGACAGGAAGGCCTGTCATGCTCTGGTCCATGGGTCACGAAGAGTCGGACATGACTTAACGACTAAACAGAAAGAACCTAGCATTGTATTTCCAATAGTGGCCAACAAAACGTCTCTGGCAAGCCTAAAATGGTAGTCACTCCCTCTTAGTGTTACCTACCAGCTACTGATACTCAAAGGGAAAATGCCTCAGAAAGTGTGGTTTATATGTGTCCCTCATTCTACTGTAAAACTAGCAACTGACAGACTTCTAAATCAACTGGACTAATCCCTTTTTAAAGCTATCCAAGCTATGAGCAATCACCATTATCTTGTAAGAACAGATTTCATAAATCAATTATGCACTCTTTGAAGAAGTACAGCTTATTGTCTGCCAATCAGTTTCACTGGATGACTCTCCCTTGCAGTATTTGTGCTGTTTCTGAAGATAGTTTTGATGTTTTTTTAAATGCTTTTATGATGTTCCTGTATTTTGTTATTTTTTACAAACCAACTCGGTTGTTTTTACAGAAAAGATGCATACAAATAAATAAATAGCTTTACAAGAAAGGGCAGAAAATGCATGTCTGTCGTCCCACTCATTGCCATGTGTAAAAAGTAAAAAGTCCATGCCTTTTTTCAGAGTATCTGATAAAAAAGCTTTTAATTCGATAAATCTGTGCCCATTATGAGAATAGTCAGAAAGCAATTTTTAAATGTATGGCTTTCCATATGAATATGTATAAAAACTACAGATGGCATACACTTTCCTAAAAGAGGCATTGCATCTTTTCCCCCCACATGTAGCATCTTCCCTAAGTTTTAGAAAAACTGCTTTTTGTTGTTTATTCGTTAAGTCATGTCCGACTCTTTGTGACCCCATGGACCAGAGCATGCCAGGCCCTCCTGTCTTCCACTGCCTCCCAGAGTTTGGTCAAATTCATGTTGGTAGCTTCGATGACACTGTCCATCCATCTCGTCCTCTGTTGTCCCGTTCTCCTCGTGCCTTCACTCTTTCCCAACATTAGGGACTTTTCCAGGGAGTCTTCTCTTCTCATGAGATGGCACCACTGAATTGGAGCCTCAGCTTCAGGATCTGTCCTTCCAGTGAGCATTCAGGGTTGATTTCCTACAAAATGGATAGGTTTGTTCTCCTTACTATCCAGGAGATTCTCAAGAGTCTCCTCCAGCACCACAATTCAAAAGCATCAATTCTTCGGTGGTCAGCCTTCTTTATGGTCCAGCTCTCACTTCCATACATCACTACTGGAAAAACCATAGCTTTGACTATGCGGACCTTTGTCAGCAAGGTGATGTCTCTGCTTTTTAAGATGCTGTCAAGGTTTGTCATCGCTTTCCTCCCAAGAAGCAGGCATCTTTTAATGTGCAACTGATTACTCAACTTGTGCAATCCCTTGTTGTGCAACATAATGGCCAGCACACTTATGCCAGCGAAAGTTTACATTATTCTGTCACAAACATGATACTGGCCATTGATTGACTTCAAATCATTTGATCATGTGACAGAAACAAACTTATAGAGTAGCTATAGTAAATTTGCTGAGAAGCTGTTCAATACTGGTAGTAGAACATTTTATTTACTTCAAGATGTTTCAAGATTATCTTCATTACTAGCTCTTGGGAAAAGCAACACACTACACTGCCAGAAGGTTTCCATTCCGAAGTCAATATAAACACTTTCAGAACCAGGGTACTAGATACTAGACTACACAGGAAAAGAGCAGTAGCTTAGTTGTAGAACAATGCTTTTCATGAAAAAGCCCCCATGTTTGCTCTCCAGTATCTCTAAGTAACACTGTGATAGACCTATCTGAAACCTCTTAGAGTCAGTCACCCTAGACAACACTTTGGTAAATGGATTAATGCTGTAACACAGAGATGGAGACCAAATTAGTGCCCCACTTCAACCTCACCATGGTCTGTAGCAACATGTAATTTATTTATTTATATTTATTTTATTTATTGCATTTATACTCCGCACATCTAGTCAACTGACTACTCTGGGTGGCTTCCAACAAATATAATAACAATAGTAAAATATAGCAACATTTAAACATGAGTAATAGAGTCATTCAAGATGGAAAGAAATAGGGGAAAAATCAAATAATAGCTGAGAGGAAGGCCTGCCTAAACATCCAAGTTTTCAATTGGTTTTAATTGATTGGGGGGGGTTATTGCAGGACCCCTGCAAGTCCCCCAAAGTTGACAATTCTTGGCAAAAAAAGTTGGGGAGAACTTCAGCCTTATTGTGCCCTGGGTATGTGACAGCCACAAGAACGTCCCAGCATGAGAATTGCATGACTTCCACCTCAGATATAAGGCAACATTCTACATTCCTGGTTTGTGGTGTTTTGTTTTCTTTTGGTTTTGGGGAAGGTTAACAGAACACACCAGTCATAAATTTCAGCAACAGAAGTGATTCTAGGTACAGTGGTGCCTCGCTTAACGAGTGCACCGTATAACGAAGAATCCGTATAGCGATCGCTTTTTGGGGATCGCTATACGGAGCTGCCCCAATCGCCGCACTCGCTTTGCGACGATTGGGGCGTCCGGCAGCCATTTTGGAGCCGCCGAACAGCTGTTCGGCAGCTCCAAAGTGGCCGCCGGACCAGCGAAAACATCGCTGGGGGGGTAAATTTTGGCGCCTATTGGAACGCATTAAACTAAGTTTAATGTGTTCCAATAGGCTTTTCCTGCCCCGTATAGCGATGTTTTCGCATAGCGAAGGTTAATCCGGAACGGATTAACCTCGCTATGCAGGGCACCACTGTACTTAGTAACAAGGTATCTCTTATAACGCAAGATGCTTTCTCAATTGAGAGTGGAAGTGCTGGGTCTTCAGCTGTATCTTAACCTATTGTACTGATTCATTAATTGTGTCTTGACTTAATATCTCTGACTCCCCCGCCCCCCATCCATTTTAGAGTAAAAATTTTATAATGAGAAATGTGGCACATTTAGTTAATCTTTTTACTGGTCATGAATACAACAGATTATATGCTACTAGAACATCTACAGCTGCTCAGAGTATATCAATGCTGTAGGATACTGCTCTAGCAGAACATGGGAATAAATTTTGGCATATGGATGGCAAAGAGACAGTGAAAGCATCACCTGAAACAGGCCACCCTATATTCTATATGCTACACTACTTAAGACAATGAGGCTGGAGCTGGTAAAGAGTTTACTGAATTTATTTACTGAACTCCTCAGTCCTGCAAAAATAAGGAGACTCCATCTAATTTAGTTATATTGTAACAGATTGTGTACATGTGGTATTATTATTGCTACTTTATGCTACTTTTCACTGTATTACGTACATGTTATAGTTACATTGGATATACCCACTGGTCAGTGACTGTAATAAAGCTCATTCATCACCTGAAAACAGTTTTTTCAAAGCTACAAATAAATAAGCACGCTACAATACTGAGACTGATACAGGACATATGAACCCAAAGTAAAATAATAAATACTGATCAAATAATCACAGAGATTTAAAAATCAAGAAGTATATGTTATGCTATAGTTACATTGGATATACCCACTGGTCAGTGACTGTAATAAAGCTCATTCATCACCTGAAAACAGTTTTTTCAAAGCTACAAATAAATAAGCACGCTACAATACTGAGACTGATACAGGACATATGAACCCAAAGTAAAATAATAAATACTGATCAAATAATCACAGAGATTTAAAAATCAAGAAGTATATGTTCTGAAAACTTTCCTCAATAGAATCCAGCTATTGCTTCCCAAATATGACTGGAGTACTGCATCACCAGACTAAACATAGAACAAATAACTTTGCAATTAGCAGTTCTGTTTATAGCTACAGAACTATACATATGCAGAATTTTAAATTCTAAAAAACAAAAAAACCCCAAAATTGAGACATTATAAAATAATGAAAGATTCAAATCTTTACCTTTTCTATCTGCTCTTGAAATGGAGAAGAAGCTTTATAGCCAAGTTGTAGCAACATAGCTTCAGCTGCATTTCTTTTTGCTATCTTCTTGTTTGGGCCTGTTCCTGTTGTAACTTCATTTCCCACTTTGACCTAGCAAAGGCATCAATAATTTGAACATGACAATTTAAAGACACACCTGGAATAATTTTGGGAATCCTTTCGGTTTTTTGGAGCTGAACCACAAGGCAATGACATCTGAAAATTATTTTTCTAAAGTTTTGCACCTGGAGTCATTTGTTATGCAATTGTATAATTTCCAATTCTGGTTCACAGATAGCTTAAAATCAAGAAAGAAGCCATAAAATTGCAGTGTGTGCACAGAGGAGGAAAGGAAAGAAAGAATAAAATAATATTAGGATATACAAAACAAGCTCTGATGTTTTTAATCGAACACATGTATCTGAAATTGCCAAAATGGCTGGAATTCCTCTAAGAAGCATGCCTGTGTGCGCTCAACTCTGCCCTGATTCCTCCTTTCTGAGCATCAACAACAATCGTTTTCACCCCTTTGATTCCAGTTGTGATGGAACCCTGCATGGCAGGGGAGAATTGTGTGCAAGCGGGGGCAAAGTCCCACGCACAAGGAGCAGAGCCCAACCCACCAGGGACGAAAATTAGAGGGAATGTCAACTAGAATCTCATTGGATCTCCTATGATGGTCATTTTCCTGCTTTAAATCCCTCCCTCCTCCTTCCCTAGCTCCTGAAGACTGTCCCAGAACAAGGGGAATCCTTGGGGATACCCAGAGACGGGGGGCATATTGGAAGATTTCAGTTTCCTGAAACTGTCACAACTTACGACATCACCAGAGATCCTCAGCATAACTTACACTGACAGGATTCTGGCTAATTCTTTTTCCCACTGAGCCTATGTGGCATGTCATTCAAGTCTTAACTGTGAACAAAATAAATCTTTATTCCATTTCCTCTTTAGGTGCAAAGCTAAATATCAAGGAGTGCCTATAACCTTGTTCAGACTTGATAATTTTTCTCCACCTAAATAAAAGACACGTGATGCCCTTCCTTCTTCACCATAAGAAAACTAGGGTACTAATTCATGTAGGAATCCTGTTTGAACAAAGGAGGTTCCCCACTTCAGATGTTCTCCCTTCAACTTGTAGAAGATTGCAAATAAGAGAGAGGATGGGACTTCCCAGCATGCTCTGTCAAGTGAATGGGGAAACATACTGTAATGCTTGAAGAGGGCTGATTCAAATATCTCTCTCAGACTGCCTATGAATCTTTCTTTCTTTCTTTCTTTCTTTCTTTTACCACCCATCTAGCCGAGGCTCCTCTGGGTGGTTCACAACATAATCAGACAATAAGATAGTACTAGGTAAAATAAAATCAACATATAAACATCATAAAATAAAAACAGTAATTAAACTATTACATAATTAACAATTAAACATAAGAACTCTGCCATTTGTACTGCAACTGTGAAAGTGTTTACTCGGACACTTATGAAAATAAGAGGAAAATTATCCAGTATATCTATTCAGAACGTATTTTAAGTTGATGTGTGCTCCCCAAAAGGCAAAGTCTGCAAGAAAATGGACAATATTTCATCAGTGTATAATAGTTCTATATTTTTTACATTTAAAAAAATTAGAAATAATTGTCCAATTATTAAATAAAACTGAGTATCTAGGATAGGTAGTACATAAAATAATGTATTTTATTTATACAATAATGTACAATATAACAAAAAAAAACCCTGGGGAAAAAAAACTGAAATGTGCATGTAATCGAACACATCCTCTAGTCAGGACCTTTTAAGAAAATGTATTTTTAGAATATTAAGACTGCAAACCTATAAAAATATATCTATGAATAATTGTGTTGTCCTGAAATCAATAGGGCTAATGTCTGAGTAAGCACTTTCACAGTTGCAGTAAAAATGAAATACTGTAATATGTTTAAAATACATATATAATGAGGTGAAAATTCATTGCATGATACACAGAATACTATTTCTCTAACCTGTAAAGATAGTTTAGGTATTATTGTAACCTCTATCAGGGATTAGAGGTCTGACTACAAAGAAAGAGCTTTCTGAAATTAACTTGGGAACAGAACAGCAACTAATGTCATCAGAGGTTTTTGTCTGTTTATCTAACGGTCAGCATAAGTAATTGGATCCATTTCATCACATCTAAACTTGCTTTCGTGTGACAGATAAAAATGAACATATTATCTCTAGATACTTTACTTCCACATTCAACTGAAACAAATGAAAACAAGATTTAAGTACTTTATACAAAAGACATTTTGCTTTGATTACTTTTTGAAGACCATAATAAATCTACTGGGATGTTGTTTCTGTCTAGTATGACACCATTTTAGTGTGAACATTTTGAAAACAGCATCGTACGTTTCAGACAGAAGCATTTATTTATAGCTATTAAAAATAAGGGAGATAAAATTAAAATGATCCAACTGAAATAAAATATTTTTAAGCTTTGTTGATTGTAACAAAAGAATTTCAAACACATGCTTAAGTTTCACAGTGAAATTGAAAAAAACTTCAAAATGCTAAGGTTGGCGTAGATCATGTACTTGATTGAGATTCACTTTATTCATAGCACACAGTTGCGTATTCTGATTTTGCTTAAATAATTACAGGAGTAGAAACTTTCATTAACCTTACTGGAAGGCAGCATATGAGGAGAGGAGGCTTATCGCTTCATTTGCTCTATGACAGCTATAATAGAAATAGCCCCATCTCATTTCGCACCTGTGTGTCTTAGAGACTTAAAAGCACCTTAATGTTGCCAGCCCTAATGACAGAATAGTATTTGTTTCTCCTAAATGATACTTTTCACAATGGTCTTAATAATAATGGGCTTGGATCCTATCCAATGCTCTGCCAACAGGAGTTTCTTCTCACTGAGCACTTGTAATGGTGTCTGTGTGTGTGTGTGTGACTGAGTTGTCCTCTTACTTACTGTACCATGTACTTGCAAAAACCTGTCCCACAAGGAACTGTGTGGGTATGAATAGACAATACAGAAGAATACAGAGGAGTGGGAAACATCAATAGTGGGAAACACTAATAATCCGCTCTCCCAATCTTCCTCCAAAAGAAGCTTCTACTAAATCTGAGTTCCTTCCATGGAAAGAAAGAGGTCTTTAATCTGCAGAAGAGAACTCAGAATCCATCCTATGATTATTAACAGACTGACTAAAAACAATAGTGCTATAGAAAAACCTTATATATGATTATGTTTCTGAGATACTATCATTCTGTACATTAAAAAAGTGTGATGGCATAAGGAAAACAAAATCAGAAGTAAAAATAGCTTTGAAAGTTTGTGCTTACAGTTTTCAGCCTTATTTATTTATCTTAAGGATCTAATCTTATTTAGACTAGCCAGTGAAGACAAAGTGGCTGGGAGTTACTGCTGAGTAAATACGTTAACGTTGGCTTTTAAAATATTTGGGAACAGTGAATTCTATTCCTGGCACTGATGTACAGTACATTAAACTCACTAAAATTCATCAGTAAAAATGTATCTTTTTAACAAAGATGGCATAGCTGAAAAAATAGATAAATAAATGAAGAGCAGGAGGGACATGGTAAAGATAACAAAATAAGTAGGTCAAACACAACAAAAGAAACAAAAACCCAAAGTAAACACTTTGGAGAATGAATAAGGAAACACAAATCTGTTCAAAGCTCATTAATTATGTGGGTCAGGGATAAGAAAGTGTTGACTCATGGTCCCTCTGAACCCTTTGAACCCTTTCCTGCTAAATCCACAAAGTTATCTCCAGAATTCTTATTAATGGTTCCACTAGCTTTTGCTCATCTCTGGAGAAAATCAAAGGTTACAACAACCCTCCCTAATCTGATACAATGGACTACAGTTTCGATTTTTCCCAGCCAACACAACCATCTGCTAAATTAAAATATCCAGGCCACAGCCTTACATTAAGAGTGGCACAGCACAAAAGTGTTGCTGCTTCTTTGAAGATGTTTGACAGGTTTGGGCTAAACCTGGAGAGAATTGTTAAATGCAGTTTTGAGCATACCAATAAGTATATATCAGGATCATTACTGTAAAGAGCAGCAAAGCATGAATGTATCCAGCTGAGTAAGTTGTGACAGCTGTGGGAACAATCCCAGGATTGGTCAACCATGGGATAAAGCTAGCTGACCAAGCACACACAATCTGTGGTGTAGTAGGTTGGTGTTGCTGTTTGTGTGGTCGTGGGGAGCTGTCATCATGTTGCCATGCTGGAGGAAGCTGTATCTTCGTGCTGTGTGCTGAAGAGGAACTCTGGCTACCTGGACAGAATGTATGGTATATGACTACTGAACTAATTTACTGGACTTTGACTCTGATTTATTCACTAACCTCTGTGGAAACTGCTGTGCAAGACATTGGGACTGGAAGCAAGGACTAAGCTGTATATATCTGTATATATCCTGTAAATAATACAACTATTCTGCTATCAACACTGATTTGGTGCTTGACATCTTCATATCTCAGGGAAGCTCTATTGCTTACCACTTCCTGGTATATCCTGGAAATACCACAACTCTGTCAATGTTTATGAGCCCAGGGCCCAGGTACACGCCCAAGAAGCTACCAGAGAGTTTGCTGACCTGAGTGAATCCAGAAAGAAGAGCCAAGAAGTGTTCAAGCAGCAGAAGTGAGTAAAAACAGCTTTGTCTACAGTCTGTGAAAATAGCAAGTGAGATTCTAAAGTCTGGACTGAGTATTAAGAAGCTAAATGGAGATAACTACTCCACTTGGCAGCAAAAGGTCCAGTTACTGCCCCAGAAGGAATCATTATGGGACATTATTGAGAAACCACCAGCTGTGCTGAATCATAGAACAAAGAAAAAGAATTCCAAAGCACTTGCAATAATTGGGTTGACTCTAGAAGACCGTCTCCTAATCCATTTTAGAGGCCAAACTTCTGCAAAGCAGGCATGGGAGGATCTGAGGGGACTCTTTGTAAGAGTCAGCGTTGGAAGCCAAATCCAAATTGCAAGAAGGCTATTCTGTATAAGATTGCAAACTGGTGGAGATATGCTGCAACATTTAGAGCTAATGAAAACAATGATAATGGACTTAAGAG